GTGCGTGACCTTCTATCATCCAGTGTGAATTCTGATTAGACCAATACCGGCAATTATGCCGATTGACAAATCCGTTTAGACAAAACGTTGATTCGTCGGAAAACACAATATTATTCGTGATATTGTTCCCATTAATTCGATCCATCATTTCTTGGCAAAACTGCATTCGTCGATCAGGATCATCTTCATTTAATTCTTGATGTAATTGAACTTTATACGGATGAAAATGATTTTTTATCACTATCCTTCTTACAGAACTCTGGCTAATATCATTATTTAATGCAAGTTTTGCTATGGAAGTTTTAGGTTCTTCATGAACATTTAGAAGTACATCAAGTGATTTTTCCTCATTTGTAGCTGTCCTCTTTCGTCCACTACCAGGAATATTTTTGACACTACCTGTTTCGTTAAACTAAATTTCGATACACTGTCGACTTAGAAATTAGAGACATTCTGTCAGGAAATGTAGCATTACACAAATCGGCAACTTCTTGCAAACCTCTCTTTCTATCTCCAAAACCAACCATCATCAACAGTGTAATTCTTTCACGTTCACTTAGATCCATTGTTAGTAATAATAATCAAATACTACGGGCACGGTGGTGTAGCGGTCTATCGCGCTTATATTCATTTATAGGCAAGTTTATGAGTCTGAGACTGCTGGGTTTCGAATCCCAGACCAGACCATGTGGATTTTTAATTAAATTGCATGGTTCGGTTTAGGATTTGATGTGTGGCGTATTAATAGAATTTCAATTTCTGTTGATATGACATGCAGATTAAAAAAATTCGCCATACATTACCGTCTCGATGATGGTGGGTGAGGTTTTCCGGGTTTTCCTCACCTGTAAGTCAAATGGCACCATCAATCATCTTTAAGTCGCCCCGGAGCGCCACGGCAAATAATAATAATAGCCGTTCCTTTCCCCGGACAAGCTCAGCTTTTGGGGTTAAAATTCACTCGTAAGGGGGTGAATTAGGGAGAGTATTATTATTATTATTATTATTATTATTATTATTATTATTATTATTATTATTATTATTATTATTATTATTATTATTATTATTATTATTATTACTTGATCTGTACACTAAAGATATTTGTATTTACTGTGATTTGACGTTAATATTTTTTGGTAAGATCATGATATTGCCAGGATACAGAAAAAATATATATAAATACAGGGTGATCCATTTAAAATATTTAAAATTTGTCTTATTAAAGTATAATCTAATTTAATTGTTATTGATAAGACTGTAAGTCTGGGACCCACTTAATGTACCATTGATGAATTCAGACAGATCATACGAACTCGAAAAAAAAATATTGCCCGATGACGTCATATCTTGAAAACCATTACGTATGCAGGAGATCTGTAAACGTCAATAAATAGTACATAAAATGTACAAAAACTTTTATCTAAGTCAAATTGTCGTATAAGCCATAGTTAAGCCATAAATCAAGTGTTCCACCTATATAGAATGACCCTGTATGAATGCGCGACTGCTGTTTAAGATCCGGCCTTTATTTTTGTAAGCCGAATAAAATGTAACAAAGAAAAAGTGGTTCCTTATTCGTTTTGATTATTGTATAAACTAAACATAAAGATGACAATGCTTACATGGTGTACATAGTTTTAAGAGGACTAGCTTAGACCCTTGTCTTCGTCCACCGCTGCCTTTCAGATATATTGCGTTTTTATTTCAAACATTTTAATGTTCTACAAACATAATCCTATAAGAGCTTTATTTCTGTCAAATACTAAGACGAAATAAAGTTGTTTATTAAAACAAATATACCAAAAACACCATGATAGCATTGCATTCAGAATTTAAATATAAAAAAATAAACATTAATTTTTAATTGTCGTTTTTATATTAACAAGAATAATGTATAAAGTAAATTTAAATACAAACTACAAATTTTGGTAAGTTGGCTATTCTCTCTCCTTATTTTGATGTATTTCTTTTATTTAACCTTGGTAGTGATAGCAGAAGCATTGGCCGTGTTCACCGTTGTAAAATATGTTTTAATAATCATAGAATACGGTTTATAATCGGTTGAGCTGACGCTGAACGATTGTTTTGTTTACGCTTTGTATTCTTAACCTCAAATTTTAAATTTCACTTGATTTCCGTTAATTATAGGTAAATAATTAACAATTACTAAGATGTAATCTATGTTTTCATAACGAATATCTATTTCTTTCAATAAAAATCGAGTCAAAATGCTAAAAAGTAGAATTTACAATAGTTCAAGGTCAACTTTATGATTTTGAAGCATAAAAGCATATTCTATTTACGATTATCCATCATGATTTGAAAAGCAGTGTAGCGGTTGACAGTTCATTGTCACCGATTGCACATCCATATTACAATAAATTTGACGACGATGAACACAGCCATTTTCATACCCATTGGTTCTAATTTTATCTACTTGCTTTTTAAATTGATATTATCACTGGCGAAATCTGATATGTTTTGTATTTATTTAAATTCAGACTAATAAAAAAACAATAAGTAGCTTAAATAAAACTTTTAAAATTAATTTTCCAATTAAAATTTAAAAATGAATTTAGTTAGGTTCTTGGTTGCATTTTAGATAATCATACATTTCAGTTTTAAGAAAATGCATAAATGCATAATACTGACTTTTTCATTTTTATTTTATTAGACTGTCCAATTTAATATTAATAGAAAACAAAACAACGCCAACACTTTTTCCTATAACAAGACAACGTAACTCTATAATTAAAATTATGATACTAAATTAAAAAGTACTAACTCTAACGCCTTACTTTTTTAGAAACGAGCTACTTTTTAGTAACGCATTTACCGTTACTTTTCGTCACTTTTAAAAAGTAACGAAATTACTAGTAACGCGTTACTTTTAAGTAACGTTTTATTTTCGTTACTCCCAGCTCTACTCTATACTATACTCTATACTTACCCTGTACATATTTTAGGCTTTGAAATTCTGGTTCTGTTATTAGATCACCCAAATCTTCAAAACATCTTTTATATCAAAATACACCTCTAGAAACACCTTATCTGTTATTGGTAATTTGTTGGTACTTAAATATACGGGTGTCCACATCCACAAATGTACACTGAGAAAAACACAGCTCCATTGTAATAGTCATATAACTTGGTTCAAATGACATGTAGACGCTTTTCATTTGTAGATTTCAATTAAGGAGGTTTCAATATATAACAACCATGCCCGCAATTAACTTTTGCTCCGTCTGAGGGGGTGCAATTGGGGTGAAATTTTAAAAAAATTATAGAAGCCACAAATGGCTTTTTACACCTTTCTGCTTGGGATATGTTAGGTAGTTTGCTCTTTTCTTCATCCCTGATACCATGCTGGAGTTTGTCGAGTCGTCTGAGGGGGTGAAATTAAGGGGGAAATTTAAAAAAAAATCATAGAAGCCTCAAATGGCTTTGTACACCTTTCTGCTTGGGATATGTTATGTAGTTTGCTCTTTTCTTCATCCCTAATACCATGCTGGAGTTTGTCGAGCCGTCTGAGGGGGTGCAATTAAGGGTGACATTTAAAAAAATCATAGAAGCCACAAATGATATTGTACATCTTTCTGCTTGGCATATGTTATATAGTTTGCTATTTTCTTCATCCCTGATACCAAGCTGGAGTTTGTCGAGCCGTCTGAGGGGATGCAATTAAGGGTGAAATTTAAAAAACAATTATTCCTTTTATAATTTAAAAGATATAATTTTGAATTTCACAATACTTATATAAGAACATATTTTCCATATTTCTATTATTTCAGCTCAGAATCACTTCGATTTTTCCGGATGTGATATTTTTTTATTTCCACAGCATATTGATTTGGAATTTTAAAAATAAATATTGTTAAATAATAATAAAATGAGGGGTATAAACAGAATTTGTTTTGTGACTATTAATTTGGATCGTAAAAATTACTATTTAAATGTTGATCTTAAAACATGTTTAATTAAGAAATGAAAATAAAAAATAGGTGGTTTCATAAAAGAAAATCAAAAAAAAGTAAAAAACTAAAATTATCAAAAAAAAAAACTATATACTTTTGAAAAGTAGAAACACGCAAGACACAAGGTGTACAATGCCATTTGTGGCTTCTATGATTTTTTAAATTTCACCCTTAATTACACCCCCTCAGACGACTCGACAAACTCCAGCATGGTATCATGGATGAAGAAAAGAGCAAAGTACCTACATAACATATCCCAAGCAGAAAGGTATACAAAGCCATTTATGGGCTTCTATGGTTTTTTTTTATAATTTCACGCCCAATTCCAGCTCCTCAGACGGCTCGACAAACTCCAGCATGGTATCAGGGATGAAGAAAATAGCAAAATACATAACATATCCCAAGCAGAAAGGTGTACAAAGCCATTTGTGGCTTCTATGATTTTTTTTAATTTCACCCCCAATTGCACCACCTCAGATGGCTCGACAAACTAGCATGGTATCAGGGATGAAGAAAAGAGCAAACTACATAACATGTCCCAAGCAGAAAGGTGTACAACGCCATTTGTGGCTTCTACGATTTTTTAAATTTCACCCTTAATTGCACCCCCTCAGACGGCTCGACAAACTCCAGCATGGTATCAGGGATGAAGAAAAGAGCAAACTACCTAACATATCCCAAGCGGAAAGGTGTACAATGTTCAATGCCATTTGTGGCTTCTAAGATTTTTTAAATTTCACCCACAATTGCACCCCCTCAGATGGAGCAAAAGTTAATTGCGGGTATACTTGTTATGTATTGAAACCTCCCCAATTGAAATCTGCAAATGAAAAGCCTCTACATGTCATTTGAACCAAGTTATATGACTATTACAATGGAGCTGTATTTTTCTCAGTGTACATTTGTGGGTGTGGATAACTTCACACCCGCCTTAAATATTTATATTTAAAAAAAAAAATTTGAAATGAAAATATAGTTTTATATTTAACTTACAATTACTGATTCTTAACTTAATAATTAATTCAGTTCCAGAACGAAAAGTCTCCATAGGCAGTCTCAACAAACATTCCAACCTAAAATCTGGCGAAAATTCAAATAATAAAGGCCGTCATGTTATCATCAAAGCAGATTATTCGGAAACAAAACCTCGAATCTGCATAAGCACTACGAACACATCGGTCTCGTACGAGACCCCTGCATCAACTAAAACGCCTCTTCTGCAAGAATACAAAAACATGGCGTCACAAACGAAAAGACCGAGTTCATTGAATTTTAACAAAGGTGAAAATAGACATACCAGACTAAGAACCAGATCCAAATCGATTGATACCAGCCAGAAAGACGAGAGAAGGGATAGAAAAAATGCCGACGCTTTGTTGAAATTAAAAGAGAAATTACTCCATTCCAGCCCTGACTTAAACGACGCTAGTGATAACGAAAGTACCCCATTGGTTTCAGAAGTATCCACGCCTTCAAAGTCTGGTCAAAGTTCAGACATCAAAAGCCCGAGCTCAAAAAGTTTCCCGTTATCACCGTCGTCACAGAAAAGCTTGTCGCCAGAAAAGACTTCGAAATTCACCAGAAGTGAACAGAATCTTAGCGATGCAACAGAATTGAGTCCTTCAACTATGTTATTAGACAATAATGTTTTTGCCGATCACCAAACTGGCAGCAATAATTTTGGGGAAAGGCGCAGAACGATGTCGGATGATATTAGCAGTTCGATTTCTTTGTACTTAGGTTCGCTAGATCGAAGTACCAGCAATTTTAGTGTACATAGTTCGCACAGTTCCGGTGGTCATTTGTCCAGACAAAACGCTTTAGATTCTCAAGAGAATTTAACGGATATTTATTGCGACCCAGGTAGCAAGAATGATTGAATTGAATTATTTTTATTGTTTTGTGCTCACTGTACTTAGCCATGTCAAAGAGATGCAGTATTTTTAGATTAAGCAGAATACTTTTGTTTACCAATATTGTGATTAAGAAGAAAGTATATTAGACCATGTTAAGTAAGCAAATTCTATTTTGAATGAAGAAAATAAATTGTTGTCTTTAACGTTACCGTATTTTTTTTTTTTTAACTTTAACTACTGTAGCAATTTATCATGTATTTCTTATACCAAGGGATGTTGAGTATAAACATTTTTAATAGAGTATATTGAATAAAGGGAGTCTGTACATATAGCGACGTGATTATCATCTGGAGTTAGCGGTTTAAAAGCTTGAAGAATTTCATAAAGTTCCCCAGTATGAATACTGCATGTTGAAGGTAGTATATAAGAATCTGGGATCCATTATTTGAGGAAACAGAACACCCCACATCGGGTTGATCTTTAGAAGTATCCGTAAATAGAATTATTTTAAATTTGTTGTTATAAATGATTTCCGTAAAATATTTCTTCTGGAGTGTTACTTTTATTAACTAAGCGAGGTATTAAGTTTAAGTAATAGACCATCAGTGACATATTTAGGTGTCCCATTTTCTCATATAAGCCTCGAAGAGGGTTGAAAAGTACATCGATATTAGGAGAATGAAAGGAAATTTACGAGTGGCTCTTGGGGGTAACACATGGAAAATCAAATTTTCCTTAACAGAAATATGTTCCGACTCCAAAATGCACTTATCCATTTAAATCAATATGTCTTCCAAATAGTGACGACGTACGTTTTCATACATTCGATGAGTTTGTGTGGAAAAATCGGTTAAAACTTAATTTTTTTTTTACACGATTATGTCCTTATTTCAACCCTTTAGTCAATTGCAACATTAAAGCCTTTGGTTTTTCGAAGCCTAGTTCTATTAGTTAACCAGTTAGTGAACATGGCTTTCATGAAAATTTGGGCAACAAATACCTTTAATTTTTGTTGAGGAAAATAGAATTTCCCATGTTATCTCCAGGAGCCACTCGTACATTACCTTTCATTCTACTCAAAATCGATGTACTTTTCAACCCTCTTTGAGACTTGTATGAGAAAATGGGACACCTAAATGTGACTATCTGACGGTCTAGTACATAAACTTAATACCTCGCTTGGCCAAGTTAATAAAAGTAACACTCCAGAAGAAATACATTCTCTAGCCACTCTACTGATATGGGGAGGTGCATTATCGTGCATAAAGATAAAATCCCCAATTGCAGCTCTCCAAAGATTTGTTCCATCACTTAATCAACATACCTCGGACCGGTTAAAGTGTGTTGAATTGGTAACAATGAAGTTTTTTACCCCAGCATAATACCTCCCCAGAACATTATAGTTCCTCCTTGATATCTTGGGACATATCTGGCAGCATGGAGTCTCGATCATCTTCCTGGAGCTCTGAGAACCATATTTCAATGGTCATCTGATCTTAGGCCATTTCTGGTCACATCCGAAAAAAGAACATTTTGCCAATTCTAAATTATCCATTTTTATCGTTGAAGGCACCAATTTAGCCGGTCAATTTTATTTTGCCTAGATAACGGTAGGACCCGTAACTCTCTTCTACTGTATAACCCTCGTTCGCAACTGTAACTTCTAGAAGTTGTCGTTGTAGCTCTGGATGTGAAACACTGAGATTTCTTCTAGCACAAAGCGGTCCTGTTGTTCAGTTGTGACTTTGTCTGGGCCTGTTCTTGAGAGTTTCTAATTCCAAGTACCTTTCATCTGTTTTCGATACAACACCCTGGGTGTCGCCTACTACCTCTGCTGTGTCTCATTGGGACATTCCTTGTTCAATGAGAGCAATAATTCTTCCCCCCTGCACATCTGTTAGTCCAACATAAGGCATTTTGTTGTTTTTTTGTACCGAAGATAATAAATCGCAGCAGTCGTTTCTTCTTTATTATCATGTTTGTTTTGAACAAAAAGCCTTATCTTAAAGTTGGATACCAAATTTTGTCTTTACAAAAAGTTTATTCTGAAATACACAGTGATTTCATATAAGTTTGGTTGTGTGTATTTCGGGAGACCGCGATGCGATCGAGACTAGCACAGCCCGCGATGCGACGGGACAGCGATTGCCTAATGCGTTACCTCCTTTAGAAGGTTTATTTACAAACCCACTGTATGTGGTTGGAACAAAACAATTCGTAGCAAACTGATTGGGGATTGTTTAAAAAATGAAGAATCGTTACATCCAATTAAAATTGAAGAGGTGAATCACATAATGTGTTATCTAACCAAATTAGTATTCTGAGAAAACAGTCCGCAAAGTTTCAAATATTGCATCTGAAATTACTCTTTTATTATTAAATATATAATTGTAGTTTTTGATCTTTTATTAGGATTTGTAGATTGCATTTGTGTAGATATAAAAAGTCTGTATTTATCAACGTTAAAACGCCTTTTCTGTAAACAAATTATTCAGAAATATTCAAATATTTTCGTAAATAGTAGAGAGAGATTACTAAGAATTTTTTTGGTGGTAGATATTAGCATAACAACTTCATTTCGATATAAAAGTCAATGATAGATAACGCCTTCTGCCATTCACCCCTTCAATTGTAAATATGCCTGCAAAAAGGATGCAGCGACATTGATCCGTGACAACTAAAAATTGTCTTCTAATTACAGACCAGATGAGGATATCGATAGTAATGGTAGTTCTTGTGATGATGTATAGAATAATGAAGCACAATATTTTAATGTAAGTTAAAATTTTATAATATGCCGTATATTAGTTTGGTTAATTTTAGAATATTCTACCATTATTTGGAATCTTCAATATGAAATTTATATTAAGCAACTAGAAACAGAGGAAAATACATTTGTAAAGCACTGTTCTTTTAAATTGAATCTCTAGTATGATTATAGAATAGTATATTCTATAACAAGGTTAGAATGAAAATTTAATACGAGTGGAAGTTTCTGAACATATCGGTTTTTCATTCCAACAGATTAACAGACTGTACTTTCTCCAAGGCCACATACACAGTGTAGGAGTTAAATATAGTAAAATAAAACTTTTAACAAAATTAAATATTTAATCTAACTTAGGCCATTTTTAATTAAACTATTTGTCAGTTCAGGAGGAATATTATCAATTATCAACTAAATACTAATACATTGCATAGAACTCTCAGTTATGAAATTCATGACTATCTACGATGAGGGCGTGGTATTCACAGCCATTGACCTATTAGATAACTAACATTCTGTCTCTAGAGTTAGAATGCAAAACGCGTAAGATACATAAGAGTGTTTCAATTTCAAGAGCGACAATGTTTTCTTTCTATTATAAGCGGTTTCGGAACAACTGTTCTAAAACATTCTAATGCTAATATCTATCTCGGAATTTCTTCTAGGCTTTTGAGAGAAAATGATTAATGGCAAACACCAATTACCAAAGATATCTGTTCTCGAGTAATAAATTATTTCGTTGTAAATCATTGTCAAAACTCAAAATTTTCTAAATTCCAGCGTTGTACCAGTATTGTATATGGTAGTAATTTAGGTTTTTGTGTCGAATTCCGACCGGACAATTGAGAGTAATTCCTGTATAACAAATTCTAGAAAATATTACGATAAAATGTATATTCTTTGTAAATGACATGTGTTCAGTAACTGTTCTCATCGAGAGTATCTTTTGACGCTAATTATATAAGAAGAAACGTTGATTCTATTAAAATATAAAACCGTAAACTGTTAACTTTGTATTTATCATTATCGTGTAAAATACATCTTTAATTTTCAAAAAGAAAATTTTTGTTTCTTAAAATATTATTTTCGAGTTAAATAAATTTAACTGGCGCAGTCGTAATAGGATCGACACAGTAGTTTCGCGAAAAGCCTCGGCATCGGGTCCGATTTTCCGAAATTTACGTGAGTTTCAACTCTTTGGTGTCGAGAACTTTCCTGCGGGAATCTACCCTGGAGACGGAGGCCTGCTGAGCTGGAATCATCAGAAGAAATTCAAGTAAGTACTGAGTACTCCTTTTATACTTCCTCTCATTTTACGCTTAGTTTTTGCGAATTTTAGAATAGGTTAAGTGAATAAAAAATACTTAGATATAGATTTTTGTATGAACAATATAGATAATTTAATCGCAGATTTTAATAAAAAAAATAAATATGGTGGATGGAAACCTATTAAATACAAATCAAGCAAACGTAAATCAAATAAATGCAAATCAGGTCAATGTTGATATGTTAAAATTACATGTCGATACCATTCCCATGTTTGATGGGGATGAAAACAATTTAGCAAAATGTTTTAATAGTTGTGACTTCGTAGTAAACACATATGCAAATGTAAATGCTCTGGCAATTCAAAGTTATATTGTTCAGGTAATAAAATCGAGATTTGTAGATAGAGCAAATTTATTAGTTGGTTCGAAATGAATTAAATACTTGGAATTCTATTAGAGAATCATTACAACAATGCTTTGGAGATAGACGATCTTTAGAATGTATCGAACAGGATTTGTTAACAGCACATCCACAAAGAAACGAAAAAGCAATAGATTTCTTCCGAAGGTTACAGATTTTGAGAAGCCACTTGATCGGTAGAATTAATAACTTTACAGATACTGAAATTCTTTTACATAATAAAGAGTCATACAGAAGGCAATATAATCAAATGGCGTTGAGAACCTTGTTAAGAAATCTTTCTGGTAACTTACAAACTATCATTAGACTTAAAAATCCAATCAATATAGAACAAGCAATAACTTATATCATTGAAGAAGAAAATTTCGCATATTCACAGAATAATTTAAAACAGATTAAATACCCCTTTATTACCCTTAGATATAGGAAAAACAAAATTAATACAGACAAAACATACATTTTTTCATTTCATTGAAACGGACTTCTTATTAGTAACTTAATTGAGAAATATAGAACATTTTTACGATAGGTTAGAATTCTCATTAAATTTTACAAAGTTTGAAGATGTGGGACGTAATAAATTTGTTCGAACACGCAAAATATTTGCTAAATACAAGATTGAAATTAAATAATTTTGTAACTTTCGAAAACAAAAATAATAATAATATTATTAGAAATAAAAGAGGCTTATTCGACGGAATCGGAACAGCTAGTAAATGGCTTTTTGGCACTCTAGACCATGAAGAC